TCCATCTATAAATAAAAATTATCAACAAAGAAAAAAGAAGATCTGTGAGACTCAAAGTGACAAGTTCCCCACCAACCTGTCCACGCCCAGAGCTGAAGGTCCAACTTGACGTAGATGTACTAGTTTTTGAGATCTTAAAATTTTGTTTTATTTAAATACAAAAGTAGTATGTGCTCACTTTTTAAATATAGAAAATACAGCAGAAGGGCTTTTAAAAGGGGACACGGTGTTAAAGTGGCTGGTGTTTCTGCCTTCACCCGCAGTTTTCCCCATGTCCTTGTCACTTGCTGGCATCCTGTCCATACCCTCTGGTCCCAGATCCCAGGATGTGACACAGGGAGAGACCCTCAGAGCCCTTCCTTCTTCTCTGTCCTAGGCCTCCGCAGACCACCCAGCCCCTAGAGGACAGGATGCGTCTCTGCACTGTCCTCATTCCTTCTGGGGACCCTGAAGCCTGTCTGAGGCTGAGTGAGAGCCCCCGATGGCCCAGGGGCAGCCGCTGTTGCTCAGGTTGGCTCCCTGCCTGCTCCTGCCAAGCCTCCTCCCTCCATCATGGCGCCCACTGCACACCTGAGGGTCCTGGGAGGTGGCTGCTGTTCCACACTGTCCCAGGGGCTGGCCACAGAGCCAGCTGCTGGCAGTTCTATGAGAGGCCACTCACACACAAGGGGCCAGCACCCGGGAACACAGCCCCAGCCAAGCACAGCCGCACCCTGTCCGTGCAGAGCCAGGCAGGACCTCACCCACACTGCCCTGGACGGTCACACCAGCCCAGAAGCTCCCTGGCCTCTGTCTCCTGCAGGCCCCTTTCCCTCCGCGCCCATGGCTGCCTGCACCTCCAGGCTGACTGTCACCCTACAGCTGTACCCTCGCCTGTCCCTAGCATGTGGTGTCTGCGGTTTACCTAGCTTCCCTGCCACCCTGTCCTCTGGCCTTGAGGTGTCTCACTCACTGTGTGCAACTGTTAAGCGCCAGAGGCACAGGGCCACTCAACACCAGCACCACCTGGCCCCTAGTTTTTCTGGTCCTGGGCCCTTTCTGCTTATGAACACAGGCCAGTCTCAGGGCTCCTGTGGGCAGCTCTGGGTCCCACTCTGCCCACCCACCCAGGTCCCTGGCCCAGATCTCCATGCCCCTCTTGTCCCTGGCTGGTGTAGCATCCGGGATCCCCTTGATCTCCTGCCACTGGCACCTGGAACACGGCTTGCACCTCGAGGAGAAAGACAGACGCTGCTGCTGGGGCCCTGGGAGCCGGAATCGCTGTGGGAACCAGCAGCACACAGGGCTCCGGGTGAGTCCCCTGGGGCTTCTTGGCCACTTCAGGGCTCCTGGCCTGTGCGCATGAGCTGGGCAGCCGAGCCCTGGCAGGTGGCTCACAGGCCTCTGCTGCGTGCCTCCTGTCAAGCTGGGACCACGGTGTGCCCCCAGCGCTGCTCCAGGTGGGTGTCTGCACAGGCAGCATCAGTGCTGAGCCGAGCCTCAGTGACCAAGAGCCTCGGGGGAGTGCAGTCGGCGCCGGAGGGAGAGCTCCCGGGCAGGAGCTGGGAGGAGAGGGCACTCATATTTTTAGGAATATGGCATAATCTGGAAGAAATGCATCCACTTGATACATGGAGGCCTGGAGTGCCAAACAGTGTGTGGCTAAATTTAGCCGATGTGGTCTTTGTTTCAGAACTGCACAGGCAAGGCACAGAGGAGGCTGCGGGCAGACCCCTGGCAGGCCAGCGTGCTGCATCCGCGTGGCCTGGCCCAGCGTGTGGCCTGGCCCAGCGCGTGGCCCGGTCGTGAGGGGGGAAGCAGCGGGAGTGCCCAGTGGCCTCAGGATCAGCTGCCGCACCCCCTCTCCCAGACAAAGGAGGGCTGCTGTCCCGGGGTGGGGGCAGGGCTCAGCCGCACCGCACACCCCCAGCAGGGCTCTCCCCGTGTGCAGACCTGGAGCACCCTGAGCAGCGCCTCTGCAGAGCTCCTCAGACCCGACGGAGGCGGCTGAGGCCCAGGGCCCAGGCTGCACACTCTGCTGTGTCCCCTTGGCCAGATGAGGCCCAGCGGGGAGGCTCCTGTTGGTTCTTGTGCCAGAGGCCCTGGCCCACACCGGGCTCCTGTGGGGACGTCCAGTGTGACCCCACTTGGTTTTCTGGATCTTTGGCACACAGTGAAGCCTGTGGTTTCTACAGAGGTTGATCTTCTCTTGAGTTTAGTTGTTTTGAAACCCGTGATGACCGCACAGCGACACGGCTGATCCTGACTGTGTGAGTGGGAATCCAAGGAAGATACCAATCTGGGAAGAGAGCGGAAGACTGAAGAGAGGAGCAGGAGCTGGGGGACCCAGGGGGTGGCCACCTGGGAACGCTGCCTTGTGCTCACCTGCGGGGGACCGGACTCCGGTGGCACACACTGCATGGCCCCTGGCCTTGCGCTCCGGGTCTGAGCCATTGTTATCCCCTAATGCTCCAAGTATCCAAAGTGTCCAAAGAGCATCAACTGCCCCAGGGAGGACGCCGTGGCTGGTCTTGGGCCGTCATCTTTATTGCTTTCTCACATTGAAGTGTTTTGACTCTCTAATCCCTTACCAGGAAATGGGCATTTAGGGCACTTGCGGAGTCTCTGAAGTGTTAGTGGAGAGCGAGTTGCTCAGCTAGGCAGACGCACGGGAGCAGACGCCGGGCCACAGGCAGGCGGCTTCAGCTTCGAGCCTGCGAGCAGGACCAAGGGACCGGGAGGGGTCTTCCAGACGGTGTCCCCAGAAATGACCCCCGGTGCCACCCAGAGGGCTAGGAAACCAGGGGCTGTCTTGCCCTGAGCTGCGACTACCACGGCGGGTGCCCTCCCTGGTCTCGGTCATTCTTCATGACCTGGGGACGAGCTCGGAGGCTCCCAGGGCACCTTCATGCCCTGTGGAGTGCATCCCTGAGGCTTGGGCCATGACCCCGGGACCTGCGCCCAGTGCTGGATGGACATTGCTGGTAAGGTCTCAGGATAGTGCTTGGCCCCAGCAAGTGTCCTGCTGTACTCAGAGCTCAGCCGCGAGGGGTCGCTGCGTGGTGAGGCTCAGTTTTGGGGCTGTGCATGGCGGGTGATCCACCACCCCTCTGCCTTCAGAAACCTGGGACTCCTGGTCACTCCTGGTCTGCAGCCCCAACATCTGGCTGAATCTCAGGGTTTGGACCCAGGCAGGAAGGTCACTGCCAAAGTCACCCCACTCCATAGCCCTTGCCCCTGCTCTGGTCAGAATTCAGGGCCTCAGCAAAGAACCTTCTCTCCACAGAACAGCCCCTCGGCTGGGGTGGAAGCCTTGTTCTCTGGAGAGACCCTGAGTCCACTCTAACCCCCGTGGAAACGTGAACTCACAGGCAGCATGTGCAGGGCCACCCTGGCTCTGAGCTGGAGTCTCTGTTGGGACCACTGCAGTGAGTCCACCAGCTGCTGAGGTGAGGCGCTGAGGCCCGAGGCCTGGCTCTGGTGTCTGCTCCTCCCAGGAGCACACACAGAGGCTCACGCTCGGCCTCCTGTGCGGGACCAGTGCAGCGAATATGGGGTCCAGAAGCACAAAAGGAACCAACACTGGTGCACCTAGGGGTGGCACTGCAGGTGCTGGCTGCACCCTAGCCCTGGGACCTGGCCCCGGGACCTGGCCGCGGCGGGGAGTCAGTGACATTAACTGCAGGTGTCTGTCGTCACTGAGTTCAGAACACACGACGGCCCGTACACCCGACAGCTCTCTACATCTGAGAGACCAGTGCCACCAGAGGCCACAGGCTCTGGGGACAGTGCAGAAAAGCTAAGGGTGGCGATTAGCATAACGGAGCAGGGCCCTCACAGGATCAGAGGGGCAGGCAAAGAAACCCCTTCCCTCCCTCCCCTGGATCCCCTTCCTGTCTTCCCTGGAGCACAGGACACAGCCCAGGTCCAGCCATGACCGGCAGGGGCTGAGCTGGGGTAGCCCAGGCGCCCGGGAGGCTCCCTCTGAGTGAGGAACCCAGGACACCGACCCTGGACCCACGCAGTAGGACGACTAGCAGGAGCGTCCAGCCCAGGTGGGGATGTCAACCCACACAGCACAGAGGGCGGGGGGGGGTGACCCGGTCCTACAGGAAAGCCAGTGCAGGCACTAGGGAGCCTGGCCTCCAGTCTCCGGCAGGGCCCCTGAGGGGGTGCAGCACAGAGTTCTCTGTGCCTTCTCTGACCCGGCTTTTCCTCTAAGACCCAGAGAGGCCACAGTGGTCCTTGAGCTCACCCACCACCCCTCCACCCCTCAGGCAGGACCGTGCTGACCAGAGAGACTTCCTTTCTTCAGTGGGAAGAGAACTGGCTTTGAACCGGAACCCTAGAGAAGAAGAAGGACAGCCCGAGGAGCCGGAGGTGGGGAAGCACACTGCTGGGCCTTGGAGAGGCCCCCACGAGGGAGGGCCAGCAGCCTGCCCCCTGCCAGTTCTCAGGCCAGCACCTCTGTGTGCAGCTGGGGGTCTGAATAGGGGCCTGCAGGTTTACCAGGTGCTCGCCTACCGCGGCAGCCAGGAGGGGACAGAGGGCAGGGACAGCGAGTGGCCTGGGGGTGAAGTGGCCACAGCGGTGGGCCTGGGCACAACTGGGCTGGGCAGATGTTGGGGTCGGGTGGACTCACTCCACACAAGAATGTCGTCAGCTACTCTGGAACAGAGGGCCCCCGGCCCCCTTGTAAACGCAGCCACGAACGCGCACCGCCAACCGGAGGGTCACTGCCACCCGGCCCAGGCCCAGCGAGACCAGGATGAACCAGCCAAGGTCGGAGGCAGCCTGGGGCTGGGGAAGGGCTGGTCTGGTCACACCTGGCAGGCTTGGGGCTAAGCTGTGGGCGGCAGACCAGACCCGGGATGGCGAGGGGACACAGGAGGAGCTGCGCTGGTCCAGGTGGAGGAGAGCTGAGCCCACCCGCCAGGCCCAGCCTCCTGCCCGCCAGGCCTCGGTGCCATGGCCGGGTCTGGACAAGGGGCCGCTCTGTGCGGCTAGGAGGAGGGGCCTACCTTGCCCTCGTCCTCGGGGTCACTGTAGCCGCAGGCCTCGACGAAGTCAGGAAATGCCTCCGACCACCCGTCACTGGTGCAGTTTTTGCTGATGTTTCCTGGAAGGTGAAGTTCAGACGTTTTGCCACAGGTCCACAAAGACGTCCCCGTGTGCTTCAGCAGACTCCACGGAGGCCGCCTTTCACAACCTGCCTAGACTAGGGGGCCCAAGAGATGCGAGTGGACACTCGGGTCATAAAGTGGGAAAAACAGAAGTAACATTGCAGTTGCTCCAAGTGCTGCCACCTTGGAGCAGAATGAAAATCCCGCGGCTGGATGGAGGTGGTTAAACTGCAAGGACAAAGGCAGCTGTGATGGTAAAATCCCACCTCTCCACCCAGACAGTCCACCACTGGTTCTCGGCGGCCCAGAATCGCAGTGTTCCCCGATGACAAGCTGGTGACCTTGGAGAAGACCACACAGAAGAGTGGGTGGCCCCTGCCAGGGTGGGGTGGAAAACTGAGCACCCCCAGTCCTCGGGCAGAGCCGGTGTCAGCCATGTGCACCCCACACTCTGTAGAGCTGCTGCCCTCCTGGGCTGAGGGAGCCCAGGGCCCAGGGCCTTTGGGCATTGCCTCATTCGTTTCCAGGGAACCTGGGGGCAGGTGGGAAGGCCAGGTCCCAGCGGTCAGACGACACTGAGGGGACACAGGCTCAGTGCTTCAGGAGCCCCGACTGCTGCATCCACCTGCTCAGTGGCCGAGAGGAGTCAGACAGCCACAGGCAAGTTCCCTCCTTCTTGGTGCCACCTGCCGAGCAGCTGCTGCCAGGCGGGGTGGCACAGCGGCCCAGCCTGCCTGCCCGACTGTGGGTTTGGGAGAGTGTGGCCTCTGGGACCTGCTGGGTCCTGAGGTCTCTCTCTCTCTCTCTCTCAGGGCCTCCCTGGGCCCAGGGGCTGGCCAGGCCTCGGCTGCTTGCTGGCTCTGTGCATGGACTTGGATTTCCAGGACAACATTCAGGAGAGAAGTAACTGACCGGATGGAAAGTTTAAAAGGCCAGATTATCTAGACTGTTCAGGTCCTGAATTGGAGGGGCCCTGCGGGGCGAGCTCAGCCCGACTGCTGCCTGTGAGGCTCCTTCCTGCTCGCTCTCCTCCTCCAACCACGCCCAACAGTCTCTTCTCCAGGCTTAGCCCCCAGCATCTGCCAGATCAGAGCAGACCCCACCTCCCTGTCTGCAGGTGCGTCTTCCATGCTGGCTTTCCAGGTGGGTTTCTCCAGGTTACGAAGATCTGACCACTTATGAAAGCAAAGCAAGCGCTCCTTTAAGCACCCACTGGGCAGCATCTCCAGGTGCACAGCAAGCCCCAGGACAGGGCCCAGGGCAGCTTCCAAGGCCCTGCAGAGAACTGCAGGCCTCAGGGGATGTCAGACTGGTCAGCACAGTGGGGCCCGGGGCTGAGCCTTCAGATGTCTCCTCCTGCCAGAATCCCAGCTCCACAGGGCTGTCTCCGCCCTCTGGACCAAGATGCTCTCTGGGGACTGTGGGAACCCAGCCCGTAGGCTCACAGGGACCCACTGAGCCTCTTTACTCTCCACCCCTGGCTCCCACCCCTGCACAGTGCCCAGGCTGTGGCTCTCCTGTGTCTGCCAGGCCTGGCCTCTCCCTGCCACCTGCCCTGCTGCCCATGTAGGTGGGGTGGATGACCTCTGTGTCTTGTTGTTCCCTGGCAGCAGGAGGAGCCAGAAGTCACCAAAGGAAGTGGAGACACGAGTTCTCAGACACAAACACTGTGGGGAGCACAGGAAGGAGCACACACAGCCCACCTGGTTTGCTGTAGAAATGGCTGAACACCTGGGGACAGGGCACGGTGACCGTCTCCCCCACCTCTGCAGGGCGCCAGCAGGTGATGTTGTCCCAGACACCAGGGCAGGCTGGAAGGAGAGGCAGAGAGTCAGGGGGCCAGCCCCAGGAGGTGGCAGGGAGGCCATGAGTTAGACACTGCTGTGTCCACTCTGATTAGCTTTGGAGAAACCATGAGGAATGCAGTATCAAGCATTTGGATAACGTTGTACTGTGTAATTTTCAAGTTTTATTTCATTTTTAATTGGCAAGTAGTGAGTATGTTTATGGGATGAAAGTGTTGTCGAACCCTGCACATCGAGGGTTCAAACCAGGCTAATCGGCACGTACATTGCCTCAGAGACTTCCTTCTGTATGGTGCAACATCTTAATTCATTCTTTTGGCATTTTAAAAATGCAATTCATTACTATGAGGCATGTTCACTTGCTGCAGGATAGGGCACCAAGACACACTCCTGTCCAACAGCATGGCCAGTGCCCCCAGCCTCTGACAGCAGACTGCACTCTGTGGCTTCCAGGAGTGAGGCCTGCTGTGCCTGCTGTGCCTGGCACTGCCCAGGTCGGCTGGGGTCATCCTCAGTGCACTCAGCAGTGGAGGCCAGAGGACGAGAAGCCTTTATTCCACAAGGCTCCCACGTGGCTCTGGGCGCCCTCACCTGAGGGGGCTGGCCCTTGAGGGATGACCACTGTCCCACTCACTGTCACCCCCAGGACCATCCCCCAGCACTCCCTCACCCCCAGGACCAGCTCCCAGAATGCCCTGGCCCCCAGGACCAGCTCCCAGAATGCCCTGGCCCCCAGGACCAGCCCCCAGCACTCCCTGGCCTCCAGGACCAGCTGCCAGCATGCCCTGGCCCCCAGGACCGGCCACCCCATGTGGACTCTGACACTCCAGCTACAGGGGTGGTGGTGTGCATCCTCTGCTGTCCGTCACTCCTGCCCCATCTGAGCCACCAGGTCCCTCTGCAAAGGCCTTGATGAGGGCCCGGAGGGATTCTAGCTGCTGGGCTGCTCCCTCACTACAGCCCAGCCCTGCTGCAGGGCCCTTCAGGTCATCCGCTGGGCAGCGTCTGACAGGAGCCACCTGTCACTCCACAGCTCAACACAGGGGACGCTGCATGTGTTGACGTCCTCCTGTCCCGCCTTCCACGTCTCCCACCACCCCCTCTGGTTCACACGGAGCCGTTTTCCCACAGCCATGCCATACTCCACAGACTGACCACATCACAAGTCCCAACTGTAAGTCCCCAACAGCCACAGGTCCATGGAGAAGCAGGATGAGAGATTCCCTGACAGGAAGTCTAGGTACGAAGTACTGACTGGACCAGAAATGCTGGAATCCACCTTGTCTCTTGGAAGGAATCCTAGTTCCTCCCCCATTGATGAGAAAACTGAAGAATGATTAAAAGTGGGAATTCAACATATTTAAGCTCCAAACACAACTGATTCAGTACAAGTCATCAGCACGTAATAAGACCTGCAAGGTACTGACTGAGTTCCTGCTAATATGATGAAAACCAGGGAGTCACAGGCAGGCGCAGGATCAGCAGGAGCTTAACTGTGGCCCTATAGCCATCAACTGTGGGGTTTGCTCACCTGCCCAGGGCTCGCCTGTGTAGGTTCACCTGTGAGGGCTTGCCTCTGCATGTTCACCTGTGAGGGCTCACCTGTGCAGGGATGCACCTGTGTAGGTTCACCTGGGCAGGGATGCACCTGTGTAGGGCTCGCCTGTGCAAGGATGCAACTGTGTAGGTTCACCTGTGAGGGCTCACCTGTGTAGGTTCACCTGTGCAGGGATGCACCTGTGCAGGGCTCGCCTGTGAGGGCTCACCTGTGCAGGGATGCACCTGTGTAGGGCTCGCCTGTGAAGGTTCACCTGTGCAGGGATGCACCTGTGTAGGGCTCGCCTGTGCAGGGACGAACCTGTGTAGGTTCACCTGTGCAGGGATGCACCTGTGTAGGTTCACCTGTGCAGGGCTCGCCTGTGCAGGAAGGCACCTGCTCAACCCTGTGTCTCTTCTCTGTAAGGTGACTACTGAGCAAGGAGATTCCTATTCCTCTAAGCTCTACAATTCTAAAGTAACACCTGTTAGAGAAGCTGGTCACCTTCTCTCTGTAAGCTGCTGCCCTCAAAGCCATCGACCCTGGATGGTGTTGGGAGCTGACTTGGGAGGAAATTATTTTTTCAAGTGCTTTGTTCTCTTCTGATCTGCAACCCTCAGTTCTGACCTGAATTGTCCCAGATAAGCAAAGTGCTGGCCTCAAAAAGCACTGTGTCCCTCATGCTCACAGGATGCTGTCTTCTCCGCACTGAGTTCACAGCAAGGGACACAAGAGAAAATAGGAGCTGGCCTGCAGGGACCAAGTGAGGAGGATGCAGATGACCAGGCTCTTCCCCAAGTTAGACTGCCCTGGGCTTGACACTGCAAGCTGGCCCACAGCAGGCTGGTCCTCTTGCTCAGAGAGCGCACAGCCCTCCCACCCAGTGCGTGTTCGCCAGAAGATCCTCCCTCGTATCCTGGGGCAGAAACCTTCCACTCTCAACCCTTGTTCCCTGGAACCTTGCCGGAGCTGAGCTGTGCCTGCAGCAACTCAGCAGTTTTCCACCTCTGCCTTGCTTTGACTTTCTGCTCACTGATCCCTCAAAATAACAGTATTTGGGGCTGGGGTTGTGGCTCAGCGGTAGAGTGCTAGCCCAGCAAGTGTGAGGTGCTGGGTTCTATCCTCAGCACCACATAAAAATAAGTAAGTAAGTATTTTAAAAACCAGTATTCTTGGAGACCTGCTGTCACCTGGGCACTCAGGGGCTACCTAGTTGACCGCACAGAGCAAGAAGGACCCCTGGAGTCTGTTTCCTGAGCTTGGGGGCATGTGCAGACACGGACAGTGTGCTCTGAGCAGCTGCCCTACCAGGACAGCCCTGTCCTAGCAGCTTGGTTTCAGGACTTTCTTGTCTTGGAGTTTACTGCAAAAGAGGCTCCAGAGAGTGGCTGGCTGACAGAATATGCAGGAATCAGGTCCAGCTTTCGCAGCCCCACAGAAGGTGGATGTGACTTGGACAGACAGATCTGCTGGCACCTGGAGCTTCAGAGATGCTGGTCACCCTGCCAGGCTGCCTCAGACTCAGTTCCTCCAGGACACCCTGAACGCTGTCCATGGGGATGGCCATGCCTGACGAGAATCTCAGAAGTGGCAGCTTTATTCTGGGACTTCAGCTAACATCACACCCAGACCCAGAAACAGAAATCACCAAAGCTGGTAAGTGCACAAGAGGACTTTCAAGCCACTTGCAGAGATACAGGCAGAACATATGTATTTAGAAACGTTGAATCCAGCGGAACCCAAACAGCACCTTGCTCCAAACTGAGCCGAGTCGGTTCCTCCCTGGGCCCTGCTCATCACTGCCTGCCAGCACAGGCTGACACCCAGCTCTGGACGGGAGCCTGCAGGGGCAGCGGGCATCAAGGGGACTGAGTACAGGGGGAAGTGCACAAACAAGAGCCTCACCCAGGAGTTGCCTGCTGTGCCTCCACCTGCAGCTGCTCGCTGCGGCCGGTGTGTGGTGGGTGCAGAGGGAGGCAGGGCTGGGGAGAGCTATGCAGGGCATGGTGGGTGCAGAGGGAGGCAGGGCTGGAGGAGGGCTGTGCAGGGGGGTGGGTGCAGAGGGAGGCAGGGCTGGAGGAGGGCTGTGCAGGGCATGAGAAGCCCTTTGTGGCCCCTTCTGGACAGGACTTGGGAGTGCAGGCTGGTCCTGGGAGAGTCTCCCCCAGGTTTATGACTAAGGCTTGGGTGACACTTCCCAGGACTGTGCCAGGTGAGGGGACCCTGGCTCCCCCAGCTCCAGGCTCCTGAGGAAGCAGTGTGGAGCTGCCACGTAGGCCCAGCAGGGGCAGAGCTAGGCCACCGTGGGAGGGGGGCAGAGGACTGTGCAGCACCGTGGCCCCAGGTCACCAGTCACACCTGACCTCACAGAAATGCCCGGTCCCCAGGAACTGTTGGGAGCTGCCATGGTCCCCTCATGCCCAGGTCCTCATCACAGAGCACTGGCCTGGGTCCCTGATGGGTGCCTTTCCCCCGAGCTCTGCTCTCTCCCTCTTTTCTCTGAGAAAGGCCACCCATCTCCTGCCCCAGGTGGAGGCCTTGCCCTCCCTCCACCCAGCAACCCCTGGGTGGGACCCTGCACAAGCCCCCCCAGAGCGGCTGGCCTGCTGCCACCCGGCACCAGGCCTCCTTCCTCCACATCTCCCTCTGGTTTGGCGCCTGGCCCTGGTCTGTGGAAATGGCTCCTGGGCTTTGCTTGTCCACAGGAGCATCGTCTTCAGGGGCCTCTCCCTGGGCACATTTCTCTATCCCAGGGAACCCGACTCCTCCCACTGCTTCATGAACTCCCGGGAACAGCTCACGGAGACCTCCCACTGAGACCCAGACTCACACCGAGACTCCCCTCTCAGAGAGCCCTGCCTCTCCTGAGACCCCACCTTGAACACCAAGACCTCTGCAGTCCAGCCTGCAGCCTCCGCACGCCCACGTGGTCCTCCGCACTGAGTTGAGGGCTTGCCTCCTCCTGCCCTGTGGCTGCGCTCTGGCCTGGTCACCTGGAGGTGATCCTAAGCCCACCCTCCTTGAAGCTCCAGCAAAGTGCCAGCATCAGAGCCCCAGGTGGAGATTCCCCGAGCCCCCAGACGAGGCTGGTGCTGGGGATGGTGCTGGGTGCAGGGCCTGAGCTCAGGACCTCCGCTGTGTGGAGGGTGCTGTAGGGTGCTGGGTGCAGGGCCTGAGCTCAGGGCCTCCGCTGTGTGGAGGGTGCTGTAGGGTGCTGGGGGCAGGGCCTGAGCTCAGGGCCTCCGCTGTGTGGAGGGTGCTGTAGGGTGCTGGGTGCAGGGCCTGAGCTCAGGGCCTCCGCTGTGTGGAGGGTGCTGTAGGGTGCTGGGTGCAGGGCAGCGTGCTCCCTCCTTTCCAGAGCTCCTGGGCTCATGTGCATGGTCCTTTCCAAGTGGCCTTGGCCTTCCACTCTGCACGGGAGGGGAGGAGCTCAGGTGAGGTGGGTGGGCAGCACAGCTATTTCCCACCT